GACATAAACTTGTTTCGGTTGGTCCTCTCCTTCTTCATAGAGCCAATTTTCTACGTCTTCCAATATTGCAGACAGTTTATTCATATCCTAGTTATATATTTAAAGAGATACTAATTACAAATTCTTTCTGTAGAAGTGAAAATCATTAGGAAAGACAGGACTTTTTAAAGTTAATTTTATGACTTTCTGGCTTCTTAGTCATAAACATGTTTACCACCATACCTCTACCATTTGGTAAAATAAAGCCATTCTGATATGGGTTTAAAAACATTGATAATAATGATAAATTGGTATAATATTAATATAATTCATACTAGTTTTTCCCTGTCCCAATGCCTCAATGGTACTAAGGATTGAAGCCAGGCATTTGCACTGAGCTACATCCTTGGCCCTTTTTAAAATTTTTTATTTTGAGATAGGGTCTCAGTAAGTTGCCCACTGTTGGTTTGACCCAGTAATTCTCTTGACTCATACAAGTATTTTCAAACAAATGTTTAAATAGTTCACAAAAATTATGAAATTTACTTACATCAGGAGTGATGAATTTTTCATAGACAGTTCCCAGTCTATCTCTAAAATCATATACATATTCTTCAACAGCATTCTTAGCATCATTTCTTTCTTTCTCTAACTTATCCTGCATTAACATCTTCCCCTGTCCAAAAAGTTTCAGATTGTCAGAAGAATATGCTTTAGGATAATGCAGCAAATCAAAACTTCATGTTTACTAATAGAAATATATTTTCAAAACTAAACATTAAGTGTTTATCAGGCTGTAGACAAACTGAAACCTTCATCTAGTGGGTGTATAAAATGGAGGAGCCAACATGGAAAATTTTGAAGTTGCTTAAAAGGCTAAACATGGAATTATATGTAACTATTGAGCTAGCAAATTCTTCAACTACATACCCAAAGGAATAGAAAAAAAGGTTCAAAGAGATATTTGTATGACAATATTAAATGCAGTATTATTCACAATAGCCAAAAAGTAGACATAGGTGAATGGAGAGACAAAATCCAAATATGCATATATATATACACACATAATGGAATATTACTCAGTCTTAAAAAGAAATGAAATTGGGATACATACTATAAAAAATGGGTAAGCTCTAAAATTGTTATGCCACTTATACAAGTTGTCTAAACTAAGCAAATTCCTAGGAGCAGAAAGTAGAGTTTACTGAAGGCTGGGAGAAGAAAGGGAAATAATGTTTACAAAGTCTGGGACAATGGCGTTGTTTTTTTTT